TCCAAATTCAGATTGGCAAGAAAAAAACAAACAAACACAACAAAAACAAAAACATTTGTAACAATTAGGTCTTTGAATTGTGACTCGTGAATTTGCTCTCGGGTACCATTAGTTGTTGGTCCTTTCCCAGGGACAGCTACTCCCTTCTTGTTTGTCTCATTTTGTGTCCTACCAACTTAGGTTGACAATCGTCAGATTGGGGTCCTCCAAAATATGGCTGGGCAGAAATGTAGGTTGTTGCTGTTTACCTTTTAACGGGTGTGAGAGAGTGAGAGAGCAGAACAGAACCATTAAAGGCGAACAATCTGGGTTTATGTATTCCTTCTTAGTGTAACCTCCAAACCTCTTCTCTCCAAACCTGTAAAATGGTCCAATTAGACATGACGATTTCTACCATTCAATGATTTAAATTCTGTTTACTGTGGCAAAGTTCTTTCATATTAAGGGTGCCCTTCAAGTGTCCTCTAGCATCATAGAAAAGATGCAGGAAGCCATCTTACATCCATAACCTCTGTTAGCACGGTATTTGGTGAGCTGTTAGGCTCAGCTGGCTGAGTCACTCAGCAGACCACAGCATCCTCTACTGGTGAGATTTAAACTTCAAGACACGCATATTCTGAATAGCACAACAAATTAACCTAAACCTTGAGTTTAGGGACAGATTTTGTGTTGGGACAGATTTTGATGTACCTGGTGCATCTCAGGCTTTTTTTAGACCTCTGTCCACTTCTCCACTCTCTGCTGGTTCTTCATGAGAGCTCAGGATTTCAAGCTGCTTTTCTGTGTCTTTTTCATTGATTATAGATAATAGGTCTTTTAATATGAGGATGTTACCCAAAATTCATATGGAAGAAATAGGCAAAGAATAATCCACCTGAGGTGGATAACACGAAGTGTTACATTTGGAATCCGCCCTGGCTTAAAAGCCTAACTCTGCCACCTTATTTGCTTATTTGCCTATTAGTCAGGTTACTTAACTTTTCTAAGTTGACCCACAGGATAAGGATAACCTTACAGGGTTATTGTGGCTCACATGCAAATCTGAGTCAACTACACAGAGTCCTGGTACAATCATAGATGCTCTATTAAATCCCAAGGTAACCTAAGGGAATTATTTCAGTTGGCAAAAGGTAGTGGATAACATGTTTCTGGACTGAGAGTTTACCAACTTTCTTCTCATGCCAGTTAATTCTCTCTGGGATTACATGATCATTTGTGTCCTGCCTGCAGTCACATTTCCTGAGCCAGTTTTCAGAATGTGAGGTAGGAAATGGGAAAGGAAAAAGCATCATGAGGGAGACTTTGTCCAAAATTTCAGGATTGCTGTGTTTTGTGAAATGTGTTCCATTCTGAGTTTGTTTCAGCCCCCTGACCCCAGTGTAATCAAATGTGCCTTTGAGGAAAAAGCATTCGGGAACAGCAGGAAGTATTTAGATGCATTTTATTTAACAGTAAGGCCAGCTAGGCGTTGTGGTGACCACATGGGATTTTAGAACCTTGGTTCTCAGCAATGCCCAGATTTTTTAATGAGGACAGGGTTCTGGCGCTTCCTATAGAAGAGATTGGGAAAAAAAAAAAATCAAACTTTGCTGACAAAAAAACTGACAATGGGAGAAAAACAATGAAAAAAGATCAGCTTTATTTAAAATAGAAAGGTTTCAGATTTATTCCCATTTCTTTGTCTTTCAATCATTTATTCATTTACTTATTCATAAATTCATCAAATATCGGTCAACGCTGTTGCTTACATACACTAAGGATACAACAGAAAGGAAAAATATCTGTCCTCACAGAGTGTGCAGATCTACTGTGGCATTACAGGAAACCAGTGAAATCAACCTCTAAGTCATCATTGGTTCTTTTACTCCTAATATCATTGTCCTAGCCACAAGATTTCCATCTTAGCTGCTTCCTGGCCTACTCCGGGATGCTCTAATTGGCTGATCTTTTGTCTTAGAACTCTGGGGATTAATATCTGTGGGATCTCACAAAAGGAAATCATATCTGTATCCTGATAACTGCCAGCTCTAAGCATCCCCCCCCTCCAGATAAAAACCTCACTCAACTACCAACTCACTCCCAACTCACTACCTTTCCCAAACCAATTTTCTCTTCTGTCAGTTAAATGTTCTTAAATCCTGTAATTGTTCTTCATGAGATTGTTTGCAGAGCTTGCGCTCTCTCTCTCTCTCTCTCTCTCTCTCTCTCTCTCCTTAGCCATCCTTTCTTTGAATATACTGGTTTATAAAAATTCTTCTATTTCTCCGTTACTTGGGGACATCTGACTTCCATATATCTTTTTGCATGTTTTTATCTGGACCTTGATGATTCTTCCTTTTAAGACCTTTTTTTTTTTAAAGTTTATTTATTTATTTTGTGAGAGAGAGCATGAGCAGGGAAGGGACAGAGAGAAAGGGAGAATCTCAAGCAGGCCCCACACTGCCAGCACAGAGCCCAACAGGGGCCCCAAACCCATGAACTGCAAATTCATGACCTGAGCCAAAACCAAGAGTCAGATGCTAAACTGACTGAGTCACTCAGGTGCCACCTTTTTAAGAGCTTTTAATGTCTTTTGTTCCATAATTATTATACATGCATAACACTTATGTCTGAGTTGTTTTAACATACACAGTGCAAACTTTTAAACACATTGACTTATTTCTCTACCTGTGCTGTCCAGTAGAGAAGACACCATCCCTATTCAGCTGTTTAAATTCAAATCAGTTAAAAAATGATGTAATATTAAAAATACAGTTTCTTAGATGTACTAACCACATTTTAAGCCCCGGTGGCTAGTGGCTTCCATACTAGACAACACAGATATAGAACAGTTCCATCTTGAAGAAAGTTCTACCAGAGAACGCTGATCTATAGAACAGAATTTGACAGTACAGGCTCCCTAAGGAGACATAGAAGAGACAGAAAAAAAGTCCTGACTGACTATATCTGACAAGCACATTAATGAGCTAGGAGATGCAAGCACAACCCACCAACATGGGTTAGAGCTTGGCTCTAGTTAACTCTACACCATATTCATTTGGGGCTTTCAATGGGCAGTAGAGAGAAACACAACATGGTACATTTGAAAATATTTTACTTTAGAAGAAACCACATTTTCTCTCTAGACCTGTTTACTTATCTGAGAGATACAGGAAGAGAAGTTACATTTTTCTGGCATTTAAATATTCTTCCCATATATGAATATTTTTGAAAAAATAGAGCAAGTAAGCAGGATGGGTAGGTTTTAAAAGCTGAACGAATGATGTGTCTCAGCTCTAAACTCATATTTTCCCAATATTTCCCTATAAATATTGGGCCTTTTGGTCTTGGCACTTGGAAAGTTTCTAAATCTCAAGGCTGTTATATTGCTTTCTCCTCCCCTTGGATGGAAATAGGATGTTTGACCTTTATGTCAACAGCCTAGATCATGAGAAAATTAACAAGTGTTTTTGAGTTCCTTTTACAAATCTTTAGTGTGGAAATAAATTCACCACAAAGCAGAACACCTAATATTTTGGTTCTAAAACTTCAGAATGATAGATCTCTCTCCCTGGGGCCCTATTTCCACAATGCTTGCTAACACTGAGAATTTTCTGAAGTGATTTAAAGCAGACCAAGAAAGATCATGTTATTGGGAACTTAGACTGTGGAATAATGGAAATAATATGCAGTCGTTTGAGCTTACATCAAACCCTTTAGTACTAAATCAGTTCTAAGAATAAGTTAGAGTTTTCTGGACTACTTGCGCAATCTCTTTTATTTGTTTTGATTGTCCTACGCCATTATTTAACCTGGAATGCTTTTGCACTGCTACCAAAATTCAGAGCCCTATTTAAATGACATCCTTTTCATGAATCCTTTCTTGACCCTTTCAATGAGAAGACATCTGATTCTCTCCTTCACACCTGTAGCACTTTCCTCACACCTCATTTGATGCCACTTTTCACAGAAGAAGCTACCTTGTTTGCCCTGATGAGTTAATTTCTCTTACTCAAAAGCACAAGGAAAGCAGAGGAAACTAGCACATTGCTGGACACATGTTAGGTGTTCAGTAGCTATGTGAAATAGAAAGTTTGTGGCAGATCTGCTTCTCTGAGTGCCTGAGTTTGATTCCTGACCTGTGATCACTTCAGAAAATGAGCTTCATTGAGGCCGGCTCTCATCTCCATAAATAAAAGTGCTATGAAAATATATTTTTGGCCACCTAATCTATGTGATTCATATATGCATTTTTGAGGGCTTTAGTTAACACAATCATTACCATCAGCAAGAATGATTTTTTTAAAGATTTTAATTTTAAGTAATCTCTATACCCAATAAGGGGCTCAAACTCACAACCCCAAGATCAAGAGTCACATGTGCTATCAACTGAGCTAGCCAGGTGCCCCTGATTTTTTTTTTAATGTAAAGGTATTTTGGGTGTATTAGCTTTTTGAAAATCTAGACCATCCACTGTCTTGCTGGAAAAGCATGTTTTTTTGTCATATACATGATTTTTCAAAAACTGGTTGAGAGAACCATTCAGATACTTTCCTCCTCCATTCCACTGTCCTTTCCTTAACACGTTTATCTTATGTGATTAATTCCTTTCTCCCTTTTGTTCAGCTTTTCTCCTTATTGGAATGCCTCACTCTCCTTCTTTAGGGTCTAGAGAAAGTGTCCAAACTTTTCCAAATCCTAGCAGGCATAATTAGTTGTTTTTAATCATGTTTAAACATGTTGGCTTTTCTTCTGTATCTCACAAATTTACTTAGGCTCGTGCCTGACTTTAAAGCATAGTTGAGAGGCACCTGGGCGGCTCAGTCAGTTAAGCATTTGAGTCTTGATTTGGGCTCAGGTCATGATCCCAGGGTCATGGGATCAAGCCCTGTGTCCGGCTCCATGTTGGGTGTGGAGCCTGCTGAAGATTCTCTGTATGCCCCTCCCCAACTTGTGTGCCCATGTGTGCGTGTGCCCTCCCTCTCTTTTTCTCTCTCTCTCAAAAAAACATGTAGTTGAAAAAGCAAGGATTTGGAACCAGATCTGTCACTTCCTGCTGGTTGATTTTGAGCAGGTAATTTAAGCTCAGTCTCAATCTCTTCATGTGTATAATGGGCTTAGTATTATGTACCTCATAGACTCATGAATATTAAGTGCCTTGCACAATGCTTGACACAATAAATATTGTCTTTTATTGTAATACACACATAAATGTATGCATGTCTCTGGATAGAATCATACCAGATATAGAATAAGGAGAAGAAGAGATTGAGAATTATTTTTGGAAAACTACTTGTTTTATTTCTCTTGTGGTAAGATTAATGTTATTGATATATTGGTTGGAACTTAGGGGGATAAAATATATGAAAATGTGAAGACAACTAGGTTAAAAATATGTTTTAAAAGACACTCAAGTTCGTACTCACTTATTTTCAACACATAACAAGCATTCATTAGAATAAGTTTTTCCATCAGTCCCACAGACAGGAGCATAGATCTTGGTACATCCAGGTATTTCACTGTCACATTTAGCCTGAAAATGGAATTAAACAGAATTGTTTTCCGTCATTTTGTAGTCTTCAAGTTTATAACAAAATCTCTAAAACAGCTTTCACTTCCCTGGAGTTGATCAGTTTAAAGACAGAAGCCTGACTCCGGTGGGGGTAGTGATAATGAGTGTCTGAGAGAAAGAGTTCAGGGTTTGGAATCAGAAAGCCTGACTGTATGGACTGCCTCTGCTATTTACAAGTTGTGAGATATTGGCAGATCTCTTGGTTCCTCTGAACCTCAGTCACCTTATCTGTGCAGTGAGAAGGGTATTTTCACTTCGCCAACTAGCTCATGACGGTCATGTGAGGTTTAAATGAGGTGAGTGTGATAATGTTCAGGTTTGTATTGACTGCGGGCGCTGGTTCCTCTCAGGTCAGCCACACCATGGGCATGTCTTCCTTGCCCACTCTGGCCCAGTCACACTGCCCTTCTTTCAGTCATGTGACAGACAACACCAAGTGCTTTGTCCCCTTGGAGTCCTGGCATAGCCTATTTCGTCGACATCAGCAAGAACTCAGAATTATGAAATGGCTGTCTTAGGCCATACTTGCTTTCATGTACTATTCTCTTTCAACCTCAAAACTATCCTTTGAACTTTTTATTATACTCATCTTCCAGGGAAGACAGTGAAGCACATAGAGATTAAATCACCCAAGCCACATAGCTGGTAATTCCTGGATCCAGGATTCAAACCTAGTTGGTCTAGGTCCTGAGCTTTGGCTCTTAACCCCTTCATTCTACTACTTCTACCCACCAGTAGTATTTTGCTAACACTCACTTATCCTTTATGACTCAAAATAAATTTCACTCAGGGGCACATTCTCTGATCTAACCAGTCTAGGTTCCACATGGTACCAGAACTTCTTCACAACCCTTATCATTAGTGTAATTTATTCACTCATGCCCTTTAAGTTTGTCATCTATCCCCTCACTAGATATAAATGTAATGAAAAGAGGGACACTTCCCCCTCTGGGCTTCAGATTTATTGCAATTTACCTTATAAACACACGGAAAAAATAGGAAAGTTAGATATAGAATATTTTTCTAGAGGAAGAACCAAGTTTATTATTTTTCTTTTGTTAGTTATAAATTAGGGCTCCACCTAGGGGACTGGGAAAAGTTTGTGCCAGCATGGTCAAGCTGGCCCTAAGGAGGAAGGGCTATTTGGGGTGAAGTTAAAAAGAATGCCACCCAACATCCTTGTCCTACCAGCTAGCCTCACAATATATAAAACCCCCTCACAGCGACGGCTGTATGACTACATGGAAACTGCCTGTGTGTCAGTGCATTTGTTCTTCAGCATAAGCCCCTGTGGGGAAACTGTTGTTACTCTCCATACTTGTTCAGCCTTGCTAGCACCACACACCTGTCCTGATTTCAGGTGAAATTGAAATTGAAACGCTTGAATGTGCATTGATTGGGGCAAACAGTTCTAGCCCTAGAGATAAGAAAGTACAAAATTGTCTTTACCTGTCTTTCCAGCAAGTCAGCTCTAGTGTTGCCTGTAAAACATAAATCAGACATTGTGAGGTTGGGTCCTAAATGGGAGAAGCCAGCTCTGCTCTTATTCAGAATTCTCAGCTTCCATTGAAGACTGGTGACTTCTCTGCTGGCCTCTTCTGCCCCCCCCCACCTCAACCTTTTCTTATTTCTGTCTTCTCTCAAGGATATCTCACTGGTGTCCAATCACTCCCTGCCTGTTGGAGCGTCAAGGAAATGAAGCAAAAGTTTGATTATGATCAAAGTATCTTAGTTCAGCATTTCACAAAAGTTGACCCATTTCTTTGAAAATAGAAGTGATTTTACTTACTGCTTGAAATGTATCAGGTACGGAGCAAATATCTTCTGAATGCTCACTGACATTGTCACAACTGGCTACTAGACCTTTGATCTTACAATTAGTGATCAAATTAAGTATCTTTAATTCAGTTTATAGATGAATATGTGAAGAGTTTATACGACTAATTGTAAAGCAGTTACCACTAGCAGTAACCAGGTCTTGTGATAACAAAACTAACTTGGAATGACATGTAAGTCTTTTTGTAAGTAATGTTAAACATGGAGCTCTTTTGACAACTCAGCATCGGACCCTAAGGAACTCATTCCCTCTGTTACATTACACTGCCTATTAATCCAATTCACATTTATCCAATTCACAGATAGATGCTTAAAATTGCCATGCTGCATTCCCCGGAAAATAACAGGTCTTGCTGACATCATGTAGAGGATGGTCATTTTGGTTGAGGTCAATGAAGGGAAAAGGAGCTAACCTGATAGTATCCAAAGAAAGAAATGTTGGTGAGATTTGATTTTGATATTGACAGTTTCTGAAGTGATCTAGGTAAGGAGGTAGCTCTCCCTAGCTAAATGTCATAAGAAGCAGCAAGGCACTTATGGGCTTGAAGAAGCCCCCTGGAATAGGCCCCTGACCTTATTTCGCTAGGACCAAAAGATCTAAGACTAGACTGTAAATCTAGAAGGTAATGGGTTTAGTAATGCAACAAGTCAAACAGGTTTTACTCAAATCAGAAAAATATGCAGGCACCTACCAGATAGCCCCAACAGGGCCAAGGCACAGAGGAGGAGGATGCTTGTTACCTTCATGGCTGAAAGTTCTGTATCCAGTCAGTAGAAGATGGCTTTGAACTCACCACTTCTTTTCAGAGCCCTGGGACTGGAAGGGTCATATAGACAGAGTGGCCACCCAGGCTCCACCTCCTGTCCTGTCACCAGATCTCTTAAGTTATTGATTGACTCGTGTTGATTGACTCGGTAGGATAACCTGACCCCAAGTCTCAGGAATGTCACCTGCATAAGAAAGGTAAAAGAAGTAGCAGGGGCCGGAATGTGCTTGGCCAAGACACCGTCAGAGAAGTTCTGGTGATTAGTTGGTTCTCCCCCAACTTCCTCTGTGACTCTGGGCAGCCCTAGTGTTCTCATCTGTATGTACTCTGTAGCTCTGGGTAGGTGAGCAGGTGTGGATATCCAAAAATGGGTCTCCATTCTTTCTTCCTTTCCTTCAGCTTTTCCCTTTTTCATTTTTTCTCTTTTCTTTTGTTGCACTCATTCACAAAGCCCAAGGTAGCTGGCAGAGACACAGGTTAGAAATAAAGAGGGCTCACTTCCCTAAGGCGTGTGTGTGTGCTTTGGGGCTAGATTGTGCTCTCCGGATACTTAATAGCTCTGTGTTCTTGGACAGATAGTTCACTTTTGCTGGGCCTCAATTTATTCACCTGAGACCTGAAATAATAATAGCACTTAACTCAAAGTGTTTATCTTTCATTCAAATGTATGTGTGCTGTGTCTACCATGTGTTATTAGGAGATAGTTCTTCATGTCTCTTGTGTTTCTGCCTTTCTTATAAGGAGAGGCACGCACTGCCTGTGCTTCAGACAATCTTTTCAAAAGTTTGTACAACTAATGGACTTAGAGGGTGGAATAGTGTCTCTGTCTGGAACAAAGGGGAGGTTTGTTCACCATTCATTATAATAAAGATGATATCCCTCTCCATTGCAAAGATTAGGTGGGCATAGTGCCCTTTATTTTTATTTATTTATTTTTTTATTTTTTAAAAAAAAATTTTTTTTTTCAACGTTTATTTATTTTTGGGAGAGAGAGAGACAGAGCATGAACGGGGGAGGGGCAGAGAGAGAGGGAGACCCAGAATCGGAAACAGGCTCCAGGCTCTG